GCATCACGCACAGCCAAAAGAACAAACAAGCGTGTCCTGGGAGAAGTACAGCCAGGATGCTGCTTTGAGGCAATGGTGGTGAAAGTCGTCTCACAGACTCTGGACATGCTGTCAGGAGAGACGAGTCCCTGCAGCAGGACCTCACACTCGGTAGAGAGGCATGAAGGGAGGAGGACACGAAGGATTGACAGAGTCAGTGGCCGCAACAACGGCTCAAACATAAGACCAATTGTGCTAATGGGGTAGCCCGGGCAGTGTTTCATTCTGCTGCAGGTGGGCCACTCACTTTGAGTCAGAACCAACTGCACGGGACCCAACAACAGTACCCTTAGCCGCATCAGCATGTTCCAGATATTGTTCTTAATGTTCTGGCTGCATTAGGTTTGTAAATCGATTTCCAACGGAAGGGTATTAGCTCATCGGAAGCATATTCTTGACCTGGGCTACTGTCTTCACGATAGTGTAGCATTACCCAGCGAGTGGTGGTGTCCGCTTTGGGTTGGCCAGGTGTTTTAACAGCTCCACGAACAGGAAATCAACAGAGCCTGGACAGGATGGCCAGCAAGAGAAAGATGCCCTAAAGATAAGAAAACGCATGAAGGACCAACCCGATCGTGAACGCATCCTACACAGTAGGCTACATGCAAAGTTGGGGAACAGAAAAACCTTGCAAAGCTCAAAACAAGTATGAAGGAGAACAAAAGGTCTCTTTAAAGATGACCCTCAGACTTTTGAATTTCACAGACCAATTTTTGTATTCTTTTTAATCAAATCTGGGAAGGGGCAAATCAACTTAAGCTTGCTATTGGTACGTAGCATGGAGTCCCTGTCAACTCACAGCGAGCCCTGTGCCAGAATGCCACTGTTGGTCATCCTGCCTCAAGGCCACTGGATAGATTCAAGCTGACCATCGTGCCCTCAGGACTCTGGCATGGTCATGGCCACCTTGTGATGCCATCTTGGCCATGGAGGGAAGCACATAGGGCTCGAGCAGATAGTCACTGCACCAGTTCACCATCGTGGGCAACCTTTTGCTGTGTACTTACGCTTGTGAAATTGGTCCGGGTCTGCTCCCGGGTTACAGAATCCCCTTGGGTACACAGGCACAGGAGCGGTCCTAGGGCATGTGTCCAGCCATGCTTTGTGGAGAGATCCTGAAGGTCGGTGTCACCAATTGAATTATGTCCTCCAAAAAGAGATGTTGAAGTCCTGAGCCACTCCTGGTGCCTGTGACGGTCACTTGTCCGGAAGTCCACTCGTTGAAGATGTCGTCCTTTCACTTGAGGGTGGGCAGGTCCTATTGCATTATCCTTTCACTCCCCTAGCCATTCCCAGCATGTGAAGGCCCATCAAACCGCAGCCACCTTTTGTTCGGCTCCCGTGTCCCCACATGGGCTCTGATTCTCCTGACCCTCACCAGGGGACCATCCCATAGAGTTCCAATTTTGAACAGGGGGAAGTCAGCACTCTTTCTAGACACGCTCCTTGCTTAAACTTTCACAGTAAATGATGAAAGGCTTGACTGTTCCTTTAATTTGACTTGCCTTCATAGGCTACTGTGACACCTGACAGCTCAGCTCAACTCAACTGCAGACACCTGCTATCTAAGTGCTGAGCAGCAGCAGCAGCAATACTGGTGTTCCCTGCGGGCTGGCTCTACAGCATGGCTTAGGGCTTTATGTCTAGTACCTTTACATCAGATCTATTGCCCAGGCTTCCAAGTTATTATTTCTCCTCCAGTATCCTTTAATAAAGAGACCGTTGGAATGATGTGCTGCTGCTAGAGGCTCCCAAGAGTTCTTCTTTCATTCTGTGGACTGCTGCAGAGACAGAACACAGCTGACCCGAGGATGTTTGCTTGTGTATATATTACACATACATACACACACGTACACACACACAGAGAAATACCTGCTAATTGGATTCGATTTTTAGATCTGAGAAAGGAAGGGTCCCTGGTACAGGAATAACACAGCCTGTCACTTTCTCCCCAAGAGTTGTGATACGGGAGCTGCACCTGAGTTAGGCTGCCAGCCACAAGGTCAGCCGTTTGTCAGGACAAAGATGAGACTTTCTATCCTGTAAAGATTCACACTCTCAGGACCCGCAGGGGCAGTTCTACGCTGTCCTAAAGGAGTGCTATGATCAAATCAGCTCAATGGCAGTGAGTCCCCAGCCTCCTCCGTGGGGCGCACTGGGAGTCCCTTTGGACTGTGACATTACAGGAACCTGCAAGGTTTCCATTCACAATCCCAGATGAGCTAAAATTGCTAACCTGTTCTAAAGATGCTTTTGACGGGCTTGGAGAAGAGAGGGGACAACGGTGCTAGTACTACGAAGAACAAAGATCATCATAGTGGCTCAACCCTAAACCAAGTGAAGAGAGGAAAGATCCAGGCACCCACATGGAGCGGCCCCTGCTGGGCTGCGGGGATTAAGGAGAATGGTAGGAAAGGACGAGTGAGCTAAAGAAGGGCAGACCAAAGGCCCAGATTCTAAAGACTTGCTCTAACAGAAGGAACTGAGTCTCGGGCATTCCATCTGCTCCTTTAGTGAAGCATGGACTTCCTTCGGCGCCCTCAGTGCTTGATCACAGGCTACCTCTGGAAAGGGTGGAGTTTTAGCCGATTGTTCTTGGTAGAGTGACTCTGTGTATTCCTTTATCTTCTTTTGTTGCTTTCCCCTGCCATCATGCCATGTTTTTTCCTAAAGAATCCATTATCATGGCAAATTGATGCCTGAGTTTTGGGGGGTGGGGGGAGTTTCCCCTTCAGTTCTGGTCCTTCTCTTTTAGATTTCTCACTCTTCTGTATTGGTTTCATGATCACACTTCACTCGGTCTTCTCAAGCTGCCCTTTGAAAACTGCTCAACTTTTATTGCATCGTGTCTTCCATTGACTTTAACAACTCTTATTTCATACTGGAAGCAACCTTCCCTAGAACGTTTCCCCCTCGGTGCAATTTTACCACATGAAACCATTCAGACCCACATCAAATGTTACCAATCCCAGCCAGACACCATTAGGAACCAAGAGAGGTGATGTTCTTATTTTATTATACAATATGGCTCATCATAGAAAAGGCTTTAATATTTCTTAATTAAATACAGGAGCAAACTGTGTTGCCGGAGAGACTGTTTACCTGCCTTTGAGCCAATTAACCCTGCCTCTTTGCACACCATCACGTTGCTAGAATTGAGTCCACGACCTTGATTCTCCTTTCGGGATCTAATCTACCGATCTTCTGTTCTAGATAATGGGTAACACATAGTAGGTGCTGAATAATATCTGTGGACTGCGGGGGGG